TGACCATATAGCCACAATAGCGAAGCAATCCTTCCAAAGGTTAGGTTTCGTTTTGCGTAATTGTCGTGATTTTCGCACTGCTCATGCCATTAAGATCATATTTAATGCTCTAGTTCGTAGCAAGTTGGAAACCAGCTCGTGTGTGTGGAACCCACACGAAAGTACTTACGCCCTACTCTTAGAAAAAGTCCAAAAAGCTTTCCTTAGAAACTTGTACAAGCGACTGCACGGTTACTATCCTTACCTCTATCCGACAAAATTTTTACTGGGTAGTCTTGGTTACAACTCCCTGGAGGTAAGGAGGGCAAGAAACCAACTTGCAGTAGCCTGTAAAACTTTCCGTGGCACTATTGATGCTCCAGATCTACTGGAGTCATTATCGCGCTTTTACGTCCCAGATAACTATTGCCGGGGTAAAAAGCACAGGCTATTTGCCGTGCCCTCATGTCGTACCGTCGCACGCGCTAATTCACCTGTTCCTCGCACTCTGGCCGCGCTCAATGGTCTCCTGGATTCCAATCCAACTAGTGATCTGTTTGCGGACGGATGGAAGGAGATTTTATCAGAATGCTTGAAGTACTGCGAGAGAAACTCATGAATGGTGTTAACCCTTGTTTTAACTAAGTTTTACTTTTCTTTTGTTTGTGTTTTATTGTTGTATCAGTTACTGTTATTGGATTTTTATGCCGTTGTGACTGTTAAAAATAAATAAATAAATATAAATAAATAAACATTTAGTTTATTAAGTACCTACCTCTTTGGACGAGGGGTCGCAGACATGACTGCCGACTGACTGGCTTGATTTGATGGGTCTGGTAAAGCATATGCACGGTTTAAAAGTTCCAAAATTCTCATTGAAATCGATGTTTCAAATCTTGCCTAGTATACAATAGGTCCCGTACTTAATAGTAACAACACATTTTTCTAATAAAAAGAGGTTTTACAACAAATATAATATGTTCACATTAAATAAAAACACAACTTTCTTTTAAAAATTTAAAAAACAACCTGTAGATACAAAATTGAGGTTTATTTATTTTAAAAATACGATATCTAAATTAGTTTCATTGACGCACATACTATATACTACAAGAAATTATCGCACCATTCCTAGAACAGATGTTCAAATAAAACAAATTAAATAACAAACAACTAGTCTAATTACGAAGAGATAATAAAATTAAAGTTTTTATTTAAACCAATCTATTTTGTAACTGTATTTAAAACTCTTCTTGGTCTATAAATAATTCCTAAGTCATAAGTACACGCACTGCTTGAAGCAAAGCTTAAGGCAAGTGCCCTTAGCCAAACGCTACTACATTAGCGCTTGTCTACCGAGAGAGTACAAATCTAAATGTATAGCGATGACAGTGACAAGTGTCAAAATTTAATTTAATTTGGTTTTCTATTCTACATGTAGACAAGCGCTAAATGGCATTTGGCTACAGCTGCAGGATCGACGTGTGTAGGTACATACTGTCATGAACAAAACCCTACATTGTTACGTTTTTTTTTTATGGCATAAGCCGGTAAACGAGCAGACGGATCACCTGATGGTAAGCAATCGGCGTTGCCCATGGACACCTGGAACACCAGAGGCGTTACAAGTGCATTACCGGCCTTTTGGAGGTTAGGTGTTTGAGGATCGTTGGGGATTCAGGAATTGGGGAGATTAGGGAAGGGGAGGGTAATTGGGCCTCCGGTAACCTCACTCACACGACGAAACACAACGCAAGCGTTGCTTCACGTCGGTTTTCCGTGAGGCCGTGGTATCACTCCGGTCGAGCCGGCTCATTTATGCCGTAGCATGGCCCTCCCATACATGGACACTAAACTGTAATATATTAAATCCTAACCCTTGAAAAATCACTACCGCCTAAAATATTCTAGAAAAAACGAGGTTAGGTACGGAAAATTTGGAGAAGGTTGATTAACAAAACACTACCCTCTAGCAAATAGCCCTCATAATCCTAGTAGTTCAAAGCCGGGGTCCCATATGCTCGTAACATAGTATATAGGTACTAACCGAACATCAGGCTTTAACACCAGCATAAACTGGCCGTTGAATGAACCGAAAGGTCATACAACGAGAGATCATAAGATCCTGGTATTGTATAACTTGATCTGTGTACCTCAAATGTATTCGGGCCCATCCTCCAAATGGCCAGTTTCGGAGCATTTATAGCTTGGGCACATATTTCAGACCGAATTTTCGCTTCCCAAGTGATCGTTCGGATTTCAGGTCCCTATTTCGGGAAGTTGTTAAATCAATATGTTTAGGAGATGTAAACAGTGATATGTTTCAATATTATGGTCGATATTGTAGATGAAAATTTCGCGGCGGTAGGCCGTAAGATATTTGTCATTAAATATTTTAACGAATACCTCCATATAAACTTATTTGCTTACTTTGTCGTTATAAATTATTATGTTAATGTTAAAATCCTAAAACTATGACCGCTATTACAACCTCTTGTTACTCCTGGACAAATCAAAAAATGTAAAATTAGTTTAAGTATTTATTTCTGTACAAGTGATTTGTAATCTTTTAGAAATAAATGAACTCAAACCGTAAACCGTAATTCTGGTAACCCCAGAAATATTAAACACAGGTTGTAGCCATTTTTAGGAATTTAGAGTGCGGCTCTGTACTTAGATAATTATTTTTATAATAATACCTTAACCAAACAATCTTGAACCCTTCAAGAAAGAAGCGTATTCCTTTTTAAATGGAATCGCACCTATTACTCCTCTGGTGCTGCGGGTGTCCATGGGCGGCGCTGATCGCTTACGCTTACCATCAGGTGATCCGTCTGCTCGTTTGCCTTCTATTCCATAAAAAAATCTTTCTACTATTATAAATGGGAAAGTGTATATTTTGTTACTCAAAACCGTTAAAATGGCTGAAGAAATCGGGATGATATTTGAAACAGGGTTTTTTTTAACGGGGAAAACCATCGAATGACTGCTCCCGCCTTTAGTCTCAGACTCTTACTGACTAAAAACTACCCCGTTCCTTCTCCTGCACGTCGAGCCGGAGCCCCGGTATGGTCTGAAATAATACATAGGGTACTTATCCGTATTTAAGTTTTAATTCCACTGAAATGCAAGCGATGTCGCTCGCAGAAGCTCGTGACAAAATAAAGAATAACTGTTAAGTTATGATTAATGTAACATTTACGCCATCAAGATATTTATGCCTTCTCTGATCTGCGGGTATCTCAAACCGGTGACGATGATGGTATGCTCGTAAAAAACAACTGTTATAGTTTGTTGCGATGATTTATAAACTATCAAACTACAATTTCTTTGTAAATTGAAGTATGGCAGGTAAAACGAATTCTTTGAAACCTTTTTATTACAATTAATGTATGAACGGATAGACACCAGACGTTCTTGGAACCCTTAAAATTAAAACCCGAAATGTAGAGTAATACCTAAATTAATTCAGTGCCTATAATTATTATTTCAAAGAACTGCTTTATATACAAAACCAAAAGTTGAAAAAATGTCTAGAAAAACACATTATGATTTTTTAACACAATTAAATATTTATTTACAACTAGCTTCTGCCAGTGGCTTCGCCCGCTTTTCCTTGTAATAATTATGTGCTTCAAAAACTAGCCTATGTGTTAACATAGGCCACTTCTTCGGAACAGGAATATTTTTTGGACTGAAATGATATGGTCTTCCAGGCCATATCTACCCCTGTTCCAAATTTCATTCCGATCCCTTCAGCCGTTTTGTCGTGAAGGAGTAACAAACAAACATATAAACTTTTGCATTCATAATATTCGTAGGATAAGTTGATATATTTTCACCAAAGATGACAGAAAAGTGTTATTATATGTAAATGGTTCAGGCCCTCTTCTCCATCTATGTGTAAGTCCCATGTAATGGAAAGTAGGCCATAGCTAGATTCAATGCACAAAAATTCCACTCGATCTGAAAATCGTACGTCTTGCTCGGTATTTGGACTTTCGACGATTGAAACAATGATCCATTTGTATTAAGTGATAAGATAGAAGATGACACTGTTACGATCAATTCAATGCTACCAAGATTCTATAGAAGGTAAGGAGGAAAAGGGAGGGGAGACCTTAATCTCTATTGATGGTGATGATGAAGCTTCTATAGAATTTTATATCACATCCAGAATTTAAAAGTCTGCCTGAACAAAGCTGATAATTAAATACATTAACACTATTACATGATAAAGCTACAATGATACTAATTATTACAATTTAATTAGCCTCTATCAACAGCCTGTCGATAAGGTCTAATTTCCCGTAATTGAAACATATGCATACAAATGTTCTAATCAGCGTATAACTACCAAACGAACTAACTTTTCGCTCACAAATTGTTTGTAATGAAGTGAATGCATTTTGATAATGAGTTTAGTGAATTGTTCTAGAACTAAAATTGAATAATGTACCAGGTGGGTACCTAGTAGAAAACGAGGTCATAATTTTCAATTTATTCTGCGATATAATTATGTTGAAACTGCTACGTATTTGGTCTGTTGGTCGCTGCTCAACTGCTGAGCATGTAGATCGAGTCCCCAGTAATTAAATGAACAGCAATATGTTATTGATTTCAAAATTCTCATTATTACCACTGAATCTGAAGTGGACATTGTCTTCGTCTAATTTTATAAAAAACGTTGCCCCTACGCTAGGATTTTCTCCTGTGTCGTGGGTGCGTTTACAAATATACCAATTTCATATACACATAAAACCCAGACCTGAGAAACTATTTGGATCCCACAAAGAGTCGTTCTATGCGGGAAGCGAAGCCACTACACGTTGCGCGGCAGCCGGTTGCCCTCTACCGCACCAACCGTGCTATCAATATGACGTCAGTCTAACTACTAATAACGTAACTGACGAAATCCATCAATCACACCACATCACATAAATTAAAAAAAAATAGGCTCCATATAACAAAAGACTCATTGCATTGTTTTAATATTATTTACTTCAAGAAATAATACCTAATTACATATTATCTTCTATAATCATGCTAGCTGCTTTTTCTCCAATCATCATCGTCGGAGCGTAAGTCCCCACTGAAGGTATTACAGGAATAATACTCGCGTCTGCTACCCTCAGCCCCTGTACTCCGAGGACCTTCAGCTTGCTGTCCACCACCGAGCCCATAGCGCACGTCCCGACTGCGTGGTTGCGAGGCGCCATCATACACATAATGTAACATCTCCAGAACTTTCTGCTCCCCATCTCATACTTACCACACTTCTTCTCTATAGGATTTAGGAATCTCGCTCCAATGCTCTGGAACGCATCAGTATCTTGGACCTTAATATATTGCTGTAAGTAATCAATATGATTTTCTAAGTCATCTTCGACTGTACAAAATTCTCCATCAATAATTGGCTGATCCTTGTAGTGGGAACTTCTCAAAGTAACTGTACCTCGCGATTTTGGCATTGGGTTATCAATAAATGAATATAGCACATTGTATCCTTTAGACTCCTTATAGAGAGTGTTTCGAATACAAGAGCAGTATCGGTCAATGAAGGCGTTTTCTTGTAAAGGCAGTTTAGCAGCATCATCACCGTAGATGAAAAAACCTGTCAATACATAGTCAGGATACTTGTTTGATTCATTTATGGCAACATAAGCTATGATAGGAATAGTCGGATATACACGGACATCGACATCCATCTCACTTTCATTGCTTTTTCTCAACCTATGGGCAATCATAACTCCAATGTGATCATGATAGTTTTTACCCACAGGTAAATCAACTTTGACTTCTATGCCTTTGCATTCAAGATGTTCTTTGGGTCCAATACCAGACAACATGAGCAACTTAGGCGAGTTGATTACACCAGCTGATAATATAACTTCTTTACTTGCATTAAACGTATACATTTTATTGTTTCTCTTAGCTTTTACACCAACAGCGCGATTGTTGTCATCTAAAATGATTTTGGTGACTTCTGTATTCTTTAAAAGATGCAAATAAGGGGTAGTATCAGAAGCCTTTAAGAATGCTGTGGCAGTACTCTGTCGATAGTATTTTAATGTGTATTGTGCTCTCGAATATCCAAGGGTTTCGTTGCTATTCAGATCGAGTATAACTTTACCTCCTAGTTGCTGAACTAAGTTAGGGTAAGCCACCACTCTACTTCGATTTTCTCTCGTTACTATAAGAGGTCCATCTAAACCGTGGTACTGTCTATAAGGTGAATTTAATATAGCTGGATCTTTCATTTTTTCTGTTCGCTTGAAGTATTTTAATACATTTTCCCAGGACCAGCTGTCATCATTACTCGCTGTTACCCAACGCTGGAAGTCTTGTTTGTTTCCTCTTGCATACAGCATAATATTCGTTGAACTTGTTCCACCTAGTACCTTACCAGCATGCAGTGTAAAGTAGGGTTCCTCTCGACATTGTTGATTATAAGGTTGGCTGTGTACTGTGAAGTTGTAGTCAATTTCTGACCACCTCGTGTATAGGGCAAGGCCAGCATACTGAAAGTGTATTATTTAATGTTTTATTTCAGAAACATTTTGTATACCTACCCAATGAATAGTATAAAATATGACAGGTATTAAAAAGAGAATACATTTTATTAAAAGGTATTGGCAGAAAAGAAAGTCGTATAACAACAATAAAAAAATTGCAAATAATGCAAATGTAAAGTTCAAATACGTTGGTAATACTTACAATGGTTTCTATAGGAGGATCACCGCCGGCTTCTATCAGAAGGACCCTAGCCTGGCTCTGTGCCAGTCTGCCAGCGACGATAGCGCCTGCCGTGCCAGCTCCCACCACTATGTACTCATACTCAGCATCAGCACTATCTAAAACAACATCTGGAAAATCATATTTAAGCTTTTATTTGCTTTTTACTTTATACTCAAATGTGATTAAGTAAAACCTTTGACGTCGGTTTCTGGCATCCACATGTAGCTGGTGATATGCAGAGTGGTCAGGACGCTGAGAGCATGCTGCACACTGCTGGTGTAGGCATCTGATGATGCTGCGTTTGTTATGTACTCCATTCGTCTGAAATAGAAATTGATTGAGTGCAGACAATAAGTGATTGTAGCCAATAACTGCTTATACTCTACAGAAATGATAAGCATGATATCACCTTATCTTTATCCAATTTCCCATTCAACAGAAAATACCGCACCCCAAACGTTACCACCGTTCCGAATCCACTCCATTTTGACCGCTTTTTTCCTAATAAAATAATGTGGAAACGTCACTGGAGTGTAGCGGAGGTAATCCAATCATAAATTACTTGAATGATTTCCTCCGAAGAGTGAGTGCGAGCTCCCTCCGTCCCTATACCACATGGTACATTGAATAATACTCTGTGAGGGCGATGAGGCGAATTCGATCCTTCATTTCACTTGCGTTTTTTTACCATAATTTTGTGTTATGGAGTTTAATACAGAAGCTTGTGGGTAGATTATGGCGTGGTTAAGAACAGATGGGTGTCGTTTTGTAAAATATACTTAAGTTCACACGACTCTAGTTAAGAAGATTTAGGGCCGATTTTCCTACTCCAGATAAATTTTATCATAGGAATAACGTTGAATATTCCACAATTATTTCATTTACTAATATTATTATAATTAAAAAAAACTGTCAAATGTATTAATGTTGTTATGTATACTGTGAAAGATTATCGTGATCAAATAAGCAATTCTTATTTATTATAAAGATAATTCCTACGGTTAAGAAGTATTTGTTGATTGAAATCGACTCTTAAATCTATTATAATTAAGGGTTATTTTAACTGTAACTAAAACAGGAATAAGTATTCCTATCTTATTTTCACAGATCAAACTCAAAACTCGAACATATAGATACAAATAGGCATTTATTTTAATTTTATAAACATATTTTAGTGAAAAAATACATTTAAAATGTCATCTGTAAATAATTTTGAAAGTACAAAAATAACAAATATAATATCTTACTTACCAGTCAGTTCTCTCTTCTATTGAACCTTTACTACTGAATAAAGAAATAAAAAAACCTTCAACCAATAAGTACATTACAGCTAGCAATGGAAATTGGACCATAAAAGAAAACTACGATACATAAATAATATTATTAATTAACTAATTATTTTAACATAAGCATCGAACTAGTTCACCTTAATACATTAAAAACTTAACTAGGTACGTAAGTACATAAAAATTTTGAAAGTGTAAATGTTTTTAGTAGTATGCTAAGTGTGAGATCTCACACACTAAGCACATGTATAACTTTACAGCACAAGCCAAAACATTATACAGTTAAATAATAAAAAAAAAAAAAAAAAAAAAAAAAAAAAAAAAAAAACGAATGGGCCGGATCGACTGGAGTGATGCCATGGCCTCAAATGAAACCGATGTGATACAACGTTGTGTTTCGTCGGACGAACCCAGGATGGGTTCTGGAGGCGGCGGGCTGTGTGCTGATATATAGCCTGTGCTTCCGAGGGGATGTTTTTCCGCCCGTCTCTCTGAACTTAGCAGAGAACGTGGTGGAGAGGCAAGGGCGGTGCTCGTTGCGCACTCACCCTGCCAACGAGCAGCATCGGGGCACATGAGTCCTCGACTGCAACCGTCGAAATCGTAACCCGAGAAGAGATCATGGATGTCTCATGACTCAGAACGGGACGAGGGTCTTGGCTTGGTTGCCCGGACCGCGAGGAAGATAACCTCTATAAAAAATTCCTCCAATACCAAGTTCTGGTGCGCGGCGAGGGTATGCATGGCTGAGGAGTAGTGTCAGTCGTGAGCGCACCCCCAGCTAGAGCACCGGTGGACCCTCTAGTTGGGAAACAAATATACACTTACCCAGGTACAGGGGGCACTGCCTGGGCGGACCGTTTATTTCCCCCATACTCGTGGGAATTGTATGGAGTCTAATAATAAAAATAAAAATAAAACACCGGAGGAGGAGAGGGCAAGCGAGCTTAGTTCGCTTGCTGTTGGCGGGGAGAGCCAGGGTGGCTCTGGAACCCGTGGGGAAGCGTTGGAGTCGTCCAGCAAATCCCTCACACGGGCATTAAGTCGGAGGATGTCGGAAGCAGAGTCTGACTACTCTTCCGCATCTGGCGCTTACTCATTGCGTAGCTTGAGTTCACAGCGCCAAAAAAAGGGGACGTTTAAACGTCCCAGGTTGAAGGAGGGCCGGGATCCGTCCTCCAACGAGCAGGAGGCTCCAGCCCCTAAGATCCCTACGGCTGCGCGGGGTAGGGGTCGAAGAAAGGGCTGCGAGAGGCCGATGGCCGCTACTCGGGCCGAGTCAGCTGAAGCTGACTCATCAGAATCTGGCGGCGAGGGCTCGGTAGGCGACCTTGGTGCCATAAATGGTGAACTTTCCAAGGTGGTCAAAGAAACACTCCGGACGGTGGCTGGGCAGAAGTCCGAGAAGGGCCGAAACGGAGTGTTAAGGCAAGCGAAGGCAGCCATTATGAAAGCAGCTCGACAGTGTGGGCTGCCTTCAGCGGCAGGGCAGCAGATGGCCGCCTTGCAAAAAGAGCTGGGGGAGATGCGCCGAGAAATGATCCGGCTGACAGCCTCCAATGCGGCTATGGAGGCCGAGCTTCGATCAGCCAAGGCCGAGCTCGCCGCTGCTCGTGAGGGTCGACCCCGAGCCTCGCAGCCAGTGGAGGCCGACATAATCGGCCTGGTGCGGCGGGAGATGGCTGCGTTCCAGCAGCGTTTTGACGTGCTGGAGAGCAGGATCCTCCGCCCCCCACTCGCAGGGAGTCAAGCAGCACCGCGCACATTTGCGGCTGCGGCAGCTATGCCGACTACTCCTGGTCGGTCCAGCCGCGGTGTCCGGGCCCAACCGCCGGCGGCTTCGCCGGCGCAGGCTCCAGCTGAACCGGTGGTGAGGGCGTCAACAGTTCGTAGGCGAGGGAGCGCCGTGGCTGGGCCGTCTACTGCCCCAGCTGTGGAGCCTACCCGAACTTCGGGTGTCCCTGCCAGCGACGGCGGATGGCAGGTGGTCGGAGAGGCGAGGAGGGTCGCCAAGCAAGGGCGAAAGCGCCGAAAAAAGGAGCAGCGGCAGAGGCAGCGGCAGCGGCGCAAGGAAAAGCGCGCTGCGGCAATGCTTGTCGCCCCTAAAACCGCGGCTGTAGTGATAACTCTACAGCCGGACGCGGTCAAAAGAGGCGTGACATATGGCGACATCCTCGCCAAACTGAAGCGGGCGGTAACTCCCGCGGAGTACGGGGCCCCTAACGGGTTCTCTTTGAAAGTGACGGCGACTGGAGCCCGTTTACTAGAGGTCCCCGGCGCGACCAGCGGTCCAACCGCTGACGCTCTAGCCGAAAGGCTCAGAGTGTGCCTTGGTGCAGACGAGGCTCGCGTGTCAAGGCCAACCAAGTGCCTGGAGTTACGTATAATGGGCCTGGACGACTCCGTGACGGAGGAGGAGGTCGTGGCCGCGGTGGCCAGGACGGGTGAGTGTCCTGCCGAGCAAGTTAAGGCCGGCACCATCCGTGCAGATAATTCGGGGTTGCGAACGGTTGTAGTGAGCTGCCCCGTCTCAGCGGCCAAGAAAATAAAGGAGGGTCGAAGGCTCCTGGTAGGCTGGGTCTCGGCGCAGGTCAAACTGCTCGAGGTCCGACCTATAAGGTGCTACCGCTGCCACGTAGGTGACCACGTGAGCGCTAGGTGCACCTCGGAGGTTGACCGCAGTGACTGCTGCTTCCGTTGCGGTCAGCCCGGTCACAGAGCCGGCTCGTGCTCTGCCCCGCTGCACTGTCACGCATGTGCGGCGGTTGGTAAGCCGGCCAATCACCGGGTCGGGAGCAAGGCCTGCTCCCCTCCTGCCAAATCCAGGGGCAAGAGTAGGCCCTCCGCTGCCCCCGTCAGTCCCGCCGCCGCCGCTGCAGTCGCCACTGCTACCGTCGCCGCGGCCACCACTGGCTGTAATGCCGTCAGGGAAGAGGCTGGGATGGATTGCCAATAATAGCTCCATTCCGCCTCCTTCAGGCGAACATCAACCACTGCGCCGCCGCTCAGGATCTCCTGCTTCAGAGCATGGCGCAGTGGTCAATAAATGTCGCTGTGGTCTCCGAGCCGTATTTTGTCCCGCCCAGGGATCACTGGGTGGCAGACTTGGACGGCTCGGTGACCATCATCTCGTCAGCCGCCGCCGGAACCCCGACTCTCGAGGCCGTTCAGAGAGGCCGGGGTTGTGTCGCAGCACGGTTCGGAGAGATCGCTGTGGTGGGCGTGTATTTCTCTCCGAACCGAACTCTCGCCGAGTTCCACAACTCCCTGAGGGAGTTGGTCGCCGTCGTTGTCGGGTTCCGTTCCCTCCCCGTGCTCGTCCTCGGGGACTTCAATGCCAAGAACTTGGCTTGGGGTTCCCGGTTTACTGACGTTCGGGGTAGGATGGTGGAAGACTGGGCCCTTGAGGCAGGCCTAGTCGTCCTGAACCGGGGTTCTGTCCCCACGTGCGTGCGGATGCAGGGCGAGTCGGTGGTGGACATTTCGTTCGCTAGCCCTGCTCTGTCACCGCGTGTTGTTGACTGGCGCGTCATGGAGGAGGTGGAAACGTACTCCGACCACCGGTATATCCGGTTTAACGTCTCCACCGAGTCCGCGGACCCGCTGGTCAGACAGGCCCCATGTGGCCCGCGTTGGGCGCTGAGACAGCTGGACCGGGAGCTATTCCTTGAAGCCGCAATCGTGCAGGCCTGGGTGATACCACCGGACAGGCCTGCCGACATCGATGAGGAGGCGAGGTGGCTCCAGGACGCCATGTCCAGAATCTGTGACGTGGCGATGCCCCGGGTCCGGCCAGGTCAGCGCAAGCGCCAGACGTACTGGTGGTCGCAAGAGCTGGCTGCTCTACGCAGTGCATGCACTGCTGCGCGACGCCGGTACACCAGGCACCGCAGGCTTCGCATCCGTCCTCAGGACGCAGAGGTCAGAGAGGCGGAGTTGTACGAGGGGTACAAGGCGGCGAAGGCCGCCCTGAAAGCGGAGATACGGCGGGCCAAAGAGAATGCACTCCAGGAGTTCTTGGAGACTCTGAACAGAGACCCGTGGGGACGCCCCTATCGGATGGTGCGGGATAAGCTCCGCACATGGGCTCCCCCGCTGACTCAGAGTCTCCGGCCAGAGGTAGTTCTTTTCTTCTTTCCTTCTGCGAAGCAGTCATGCTAGCTAAGGAGGAGGCGGAGCGCGTGAGGGAACGAACCTCCTCACGACCCGGCCGTCGCGAGAGACACTCCGGGCGTCGGGGATCGCGAGACGATCTCCGGCCACCGTAAGCACGGGTCTGCGGACGGCGAGCATGGGTGACTCGCCGCCCGACCAGAACCAGGCCCGTGCGTACGGCGCGTCGCGTTCCGCGCGCGCCTCAAGGAGCCATCAGACCACCACAGATGGGCCTAACACAGGCTGATGCCGATAACGGAGCGCGGAAGACTTAACGGGTTGCCGGGGCTCCGGTTCGAAGTGCAGGTGTAGGAAACGGGGTGGTTTTTAGTCAGTAAGAGTCTGACATTTCCTCCCGCCTCACCCAGGCGGGAGAAGTCATTGGATGATTTCCCCCTCAAAAAAAAAAAAAAAAAAAATAAAAGGCTCAATTACTCCCCTCTCCGATCTCCCCAATCCCGGAATCTCTAATAATTCTCAAATTCCTAATTCCCAACGGGCCGATAACGCACTTGTAACACCTTTAGAATTTCTGATGTCCATGGGCGACGCCGACTGCTTACTATAATGTCTAAATAAAAAAAAACTAATAACTAACTGAAATAGACTCATCCCCTATTACATTGGACTTCTAACATAACTGGTGAAAAGGGAGGCATCTCTGTCTACCCTTTCGGAAAATCTATTGGAGGTTTGAGATAATGTATGTTTATGAACAAGAAGCATTATATTTAGGATCACAGGTACTAAATAATTGACCTAATTTCCTAAACACTAGTCCGTGGACGGCGAGCAAGGGTAGCTCGCTCGCCCAATCAGAACCAGTCCCGAGCGTGCGGCGCATCGTGTCTCGCGCGCGCCTCAAAGAGCCATTAGGCCACAACAGATGGGAACCAATAGGGCTGATGCCGATTCGGGGCCCCGGAAGACTTAACGAGTTGCCGAGGGTCCGGCTTGAAGTGCAGGAGTAGAAACGGGGTGGCTTTCTTTAGTCAGTAAAAGTCTGACACTCTAACATTCCCTCTCGCCTCACCTGGGTGGGAGAAGTAATTATTGGATGAATTTCCCCCCTCAAAAAAAGGCTATATAAGCGCCATGTGAACATGGCCTTATATTATTAAGTGTATGATGATGTCACCAAGTGCTCACTGTTGAGCAAAAAGCTTTTCTCACACAGACGGTATGAGCATTAATCAACATGCTTGCTCAAGGCGGATTCGCGGTTTCAAATTTATAAAAACAGTACCTTTTCTACACTCATTTCCTTTTCGGAGACCACGATGACAATAAGAATAAAATGTTATTCCTTAAAAACAAACCACAAGCATACCTATCATTTAACAAATGTAGTAAACGATTGAATATACAGAAATCACAACAGTAGACCAGAAAATGCACCGAGCCGCGGAGGACTTAACGGGTTGCTGGGGCTCCGGTTCGAAGTGTAGGAGTAGGAACGGGGTGGTTTTTAGTCAGTAAATGTCTGACCATTCCTCTCGCTTCACCCGGACGGGAGAAGTCATTGGACGATTTGCCCCCCTGAAAAAAAAAGACCGGAAAATACACAGTATATAATAAAACCTCTACAACCTACAGAAAGAACTTGCACGGTTCTCACACATAATCCTTACTAATATTATATTTTGGAAAGTGAGTTTGTTTGTTTGTTTGTTTGTTCCGCTTTCAAGCCGTAACTACTAAACCGATTGCTTTGAATTTTTGCAGACGTAAATTTAGAAGTCTGGATTAAGTAATAGGGTACTTTTTATCCCGGTAAAATTTGATATTCTCGTGGGAAAACGAAATTATTGGTATAGATGGCGCTGTGTGTATTGGTATGTGTCACATAGTCTACTTTTTATCCTTTTGTGACGCGAGCGAAGCCGCAGGTAAAAGCTAGTCTTTTGTACATATTTGTCTAGACTATAAAAGAGACGGACCTCTGAGTTTGTTTCGGCATTTCTTCTCAGAGTAAGGAAATGTCAGCCTCATCGTTCGCTTGATAAAATTGACGAGTAAAAGTGCTGCCTTGTAGCCTATTTGCAGAAATAAATACACTTGTTTCACTTGTTTTCAAGTAAACATAAATAGTGACATTTCTTTAGTAGTTAAGATCAAAAACAGTCAATTACACTTTGCAACAATATTATTGTTATATGTAAACTGTAGTAACAACAGTACACGCATTTGATATTTTCCTTAGTTATGTCTACATGGCTATATTACATTATACTGAGAATGTCCTAACTAAACCAGAGCCCGTATAATATTAGCATACTAGTATCACACGTGTGATATTCAAAGCTGTTGTATAATATACCATATATGTACAGTATATATGTATCTAGAACCCACAATGTGACGGTCACTGTCTATTGTACACCGCAACACGTGTACACTGCATATTGCAATGTATAGTTTATGACTTTAGGTTGACTTTACATCATTATGTAAGCTTGTTATTCTTTGAAGGAATAGGTACTAGTTTATCAGTTACATTGTAACCAAATTTCGGAAGAGACATGCATAGGTAATTTAATATAATTATGTAGTTAGTGATTTTGAATTTTAGAGTCGTGGTAGCCCCAAAGGAGTTTAAGCCCGCTTCTCATGCATGAGGGTGCGGCTTCGAAACTTACCAACGGCATGTATCAATGTGACTTTTTCCGAGTTATTTGTACTTTCTAAGATTATCTATATACCACTGACAAACAGTGAAGGAAAACATCGTGAGGAAACCTGGGCTTATAATTTCTAATTATAAGTTTGTAATCGGTAACCCGCATTGAGCAAGCGTGGCGAATAATGCTCAAATCTTCTCGTGTGAGAAGAGGCTTTGCTCAGCAGTGGGCATTTATAGGCTGTTTTTATTTTGAAAATACGGCGTCAATTGTAACGTGAACCACTGAAGAGTTCCTCGTAAAACAGTTACGTGATTATCGCAAGCCCAATAACCCAATATTACTTTTTCAGACCTGAATTACGCCCAATACTACATAGTTTTAGCAGGTATATATCATTTCAAAATCGAGCACATTCTTTGATTCAAAAATGTTACTTTACAAAGGCAATTCCCACAAATTTCCATAGGTTATATTATGACTATTAAATCCCAATTTCGCGACCCGCGACGCGTCAGTCGCCGCCGAGTCGCGGAATGGTACTTATGAATATGAGCCTGTAGTATGGCTTGAAACTAATCGAGTTCCTAGTTACGCGTGTCGCCGAAAACATAATAATTAATTAAACCACACTTATTGTTCTAAAACCAACTATAAAATGCCATTAAATCAAGTAAGTATTATGACGTTTTTGCTTACATCACTGAAGTAGGTCCCAGCCCATGAATAAAAGATGTGTACACATTAGCGAGGAACTTAATTGAAAACTGCTTCGCGAAAGCCTTCCTTAAGGAAACTGAAAATAGACGAACTGTATACATTACATTGAGGAAATGAGTTTTTGCTGTGTATACTTACATATTACATTTATGTCTGTTTTTATTAAACTTTCTGACCTTGATACTGCAGTATCTTTAAGATTGTTGGGAAACTCTGTGTGATCCACAGATTATTGTTCCGGGTCTGGGTGTCATGTGTATGTGAACTTTTGTGTTTATAAACGCACGCACGACACAGGAGAAAATCCTAGTGTGGGGCAACGTTAAAAAATACTTAAAGTACCATAAACCGACGAACATGCATGAGAGACTGATGACTGTTGATGAAGCAAAAGAGGTATGTAAGAATCGTAGCAATTGGTATTCCACAGTCTCTCCTTCCTTCCTACCTCGTTGGGAAACAAGACGTTATGTATGTATGTAATCTACATTTATATTGTGTTTCGCTGACCTTCCAAAGGTTATGTGTCTTTTTGTTTATTTCACTAACTGCTAACTAAATTTCAGTATAATTAAATGAAATATATCCGTAACTAGATAAAAGTGTGTCGCGGAGAATCTAACGGGTTACCGGGGCTCCGGCTCGAAGTGCAGGAGTAGGAACGGAGTGGTTTTTAGTCAGTAAGAGTCTGACACTCCCTCCCACCTCACCCAGGCGGGAGAAGTCATTCGATGTTTTTCCTCCTTAAAAAAAACTAGTGTGACTGAAATAGTTAAAATAGTTATAAGGACTTTAATACTTTCATCACTTTTACGTCAAAATTCTAAAGAAATAAATGATAGAATGGTTCATTAATAAATTAATTTAAACCAGTACAAGGAACCACTAGTTCAACTAAGTAAATTGCGCACATTCCGAGTCCTAACAATTTATTACTTTACTTTCTTTAATTAAGGATAAGTACTGGGTAGTTTTAATTATTTATGAATGTACATAATTGCACAACTTGTACAATGGTTCACAATGGCTCGTTCATTAAAACCATTAATCCTCTATCTGCTGTGTTGCACAAGTAATATTGTTAATTGTACGCTGAAGGAACTGTTACACGTGCTAATCTCAAGCACGAAGCATGCTTTAATTGGGATAATGACAGGGTATGAAAATTAAAAATATAATTAGTCCGTAAGTTAGGTAATGAAAAAATATTACACATGTATTTGTTTATTTTGTCGTAGAATAAAACAAGTGGGGAGTGCGGGCTAAAACGTCATTTCTATGTATAAAATGTATGTACATAGAAGTGACGCCACGCGACATTTCAAATCAATATATCGTTGAAAGTATTTGTTTATGTAAGAACATAAAAAATACGTGTCTAATGATTTAAAATAATCTACCAGACGGACATTGAAATAAAAATTAGGCATCTACCTTATTGAGCACTAGTCACTTAGTAGCATGTGTGTCGGAATGTTGCTGAAAATTAGGCTACTCATTTCTAACATGTTTGTGAATCGACAGGCGTTCGATTTTTAATATTTTTGAGCATGCTCAATAGAAGGCCTTTTGTCATTCTATTTTAGAGCAGTCTTGATTCTGTTTTGTTTTACTTGGTTACGTATGTACGTTGTGTCTATCAATTCATTAGAGATATAAAGGCGCTACAACGCTGAATTTGTGTCTTCGTCAATTATATTATATTATAATTATTTATGTACATATTTTGTATTTATTATATATTTTTATACAATATGTTATACAGTATTAGTTATTTAAAACCCCAAAGGGTGACTGGGAGAAAATGCCATATGGCATTAAATCCGCCTAATGTACCCTAATTGTGTTTTTTTATGGCATTAGCCGGCAAACGAGCAGACGGATCACCTGATAGCAAGCAATCGGCGTCGCTCATGGACACCTGGAATACCAGACGTGTTACAAGTGCGTTACTGGCCTTTTGGAGATTAAAAGTTTGAGGATGGTTGGACTATGACACCTAAAAAAGGTAAAGCGGTAGCAAATAGCTTCACTTTAAATTTTTGTTTTTGTTGACGTTCAAAAGTGCCATTCTGGCCTAATTGAAATAAATGATTTTGACTTTGACTTTGACTTTGACAATAAATGTTCTCTACTCTATTGTTAGCACACGTCTTTATACTACTGCCTATCCTCCTACATAACTCCCATACTCATCAAACAGCGCCCATACCGCATACACAACCCAGAACTACAACTACAATAACAATCCTATCATTAGTCATATCCCCTATACATACAAACATGAATCCCTCAAAATTACAAGGATATAGTTTAAACCCCAGCGCGGCTCACATTAATTATTTAGAATAATTAACAAAACTGTTAGAACAGAGAACAATTGTCATAAATTGTTTGCACAAACAGACAAACAGTGGTTGAATACATAATTAATTGAAGATACACTACACCTCGGCTGTATTTGAATTGCCAAGCGAAAACTGCGGCTTAGGATTTGGTGACAAGCGGAGGGAACTAGTGTAAACAAAATAAATAAACATTTACTTCGACATGGACAGGAATCATAGAATTCCATTCAGAAGGATAGTTGTGTGACATTGAGTTCTGTGATTTGTCTTTAACTCGTCGAGTACCGGTTTTATAGACACAATTAAAGAACAATAGGTCGCGGTCACCGGTGACCGCTTGGTGTTTGACAGTTTAATGAAGACAATTATATGTTTACTTTTTATCAAATCATCGCGGTTAGTTTATTAATTCATTGGAGACATATTCCTGTTTGTAAGTAACACGTCGTGTGATTTTTTTTTTATATCGCGATGGAAATCCTCATGGACTTCCCATGTCGTGGGGACGACGGTGCCGGAGTCTGTGTGTTGTGTTGGGACATCCTTGCGGAACCACCGCACCCGGTAGGCCTCGACCTACCACTATATTGCGGCAGGTCCCACCACGAAGCAGCCCATGCAGGCTGATTTTCTTCCTCATGAATGAAATCCTCCCAACCAAAACAGATGTTCGGTTCACAACCTTGTTATTTAATATAGTTATTAATGTTATTTGTGTCAAATTAGATTATAGAAATTTAGAACAAATTAGATTTTAAGTGTAGGAGAGCCATGCTTCGGCACGAATGGGCCGGCTTGACCGGAGTGATACCACGGCTTCACAGAAAACCGACGTGAAACAACGCTTGCGCTGTGTTTCGTCGTGTAACTGATTTTACCGGAGGCCCAGTTATCCCCCTCCCTAGTCTCCAGAATACCCGAATCCTCCACAATCCTCAAATTCCCAATTCCCAAAAGGCCGGTAACGCACTTGTAACGCCTTGGTGTTTCGGGTGTCCATGGGCGGCTCCGATTGCTTACCATTAGGTGATCTATCTGCTCGTTTACCGGCTTATGCTATAAATAAATAAATAAAAAAAAGAAAATGAGTATGTCTTCTCCATTCTTAAATTCAATCTCAGTCAACTAGTACTGAGTGTGCCACGTACTTTCCAACCACAATACTACCAGTGACAATGGTAACTTGTCGCCAACTTAAATGGTTCTGTATAAATGTTACACATCTTAATGAAAATACATTGACAATAAGTTGTATCTGTTTGCGAGATACAGATTATTGTGTTTATCGTTTGTTGTTGTTTGTTTTGAACAGATTTTGGTTGGGTTTCGTGAACGACAGATCTATTTCGGGATTCAGATTACCTGTAATTACCGTCAGTCAAATTCAAAGCATTTATTTCATTTAATGCTTAATTAGGCACTTTTGAATGGTCAAAAATTGTCAGTCTTTTCATGCATGCTCATCGGTTAAGGATATTTCTAATTGGGCCTATCTTTAATATAACTTTAACTAGAATTTCCAAAAAATACCTCTTTACTTTTAGATTGTAAGTGTATGTATCAAATTTCAAAATCAAATCCACTTACTTCTTCAAAGTAGGTTAAAACAATATCAAGAATGGGTTGAAGAAATCATCGGCGCGTGTTCGAAGAAAGGCAAGATTTACATAATCCTACTTTCATTGAGTTCTGTCTTGAATGGAACCTTGTGGTGAGATAGCAATCACAATCTCCAGTCACTATGGAGAATTTGAAACGTGTGTGTGACGTTTGTACAATTTTTCATCGTACTTTTCAATAAGGTAGAGGCAGAGTTATCTTTTACTGGGTGAATGGGATGTTTCATTATGCTAATATAACTCTCTATTCAAAGATTTAAGTTTTTTTATATCGCATAAGCCGGTAAACGACCTGATGGATCACCTGATGGTAAGCATGTCCATGGATGTCGTTCATAGACACCTGGAATACCAAGGCATTACAAGTGCGTTACCGGCCGTTTCGGAATTGGGAATTTTGGGTATGTGGAGGATTCGAGGATTCGGGAGACTGGGGAGGGGGGTAATTGTGCCTCCAGTTACCTCACTCACATGACGAAACACAACGCAAGCATTGTTTCACGTCGGGTTTCTGTAAGACGGTGGTAACACAACTGTTTATTAAAAGGCCTATTTTGAAATTGAGCCCTCGATTACCAACAATATCTGTTGAATGAAGACTTTAAAAGTAACTAGTTTGTTTAAATTGTCTCCTTTATCACTTTATCTAATTAACCATTTTGTTTGTTACATACTTTTACCATATTTAACAGTATAAATAAGGACATTGCTTATTCACGGTAAAGCCGCAAGTAAAAGCCTTAGTCTCTCTACTTATTTACTTTTTATTCCATCTATAACTATAAAAAATTAATAAAACTTGACTTTACAGATAACTTAATGGATGAAATCCACGGAAACACCTTAATAGGTGTTATAAAGAGTTACAGCTATCTTCTTTCCGCAGAAGACGTTAAAAACCTTTGCAGCAGAATGTTTTAATTACTTGCTGCTTTTTAGTACGAAATTAAAAGTTGAGATATGGTTAGACTTAGAAATTTCTTTATATCTACGTCAAGTTAAGGGTCATGACAATTTTATGGACTGATTCATTTTGTGGTTATTGTATTCAGGGTAGTTTCGTATGTTATCATACAATTGCTATACATGTTATTGAACTTTGTATTAACTAATAACAAAATGTTAAACTTTATGAGTGAAGTTTCAATAGATAATTTTGAAAGAATATGCACAGGTTCATCATCATTAACAGCCTATAAATTCCCACAGCTGAGCAAAGCCTCTTCTCACACGGAGAAGGTTTGAGCATTAATCACCACGCTTGCTCAATGCGGGTTGGCAATTTCAAACTTATAATAAGAAATTATAAGTCCAGGTTTCCTCACGATGCTTTCCTTCACTGTTTGTCAATGGTGTCTAAATACTCTTAGAAAGTACATATAACTCCGAAAAAGACACATTGGTACTTGCCGTTGGTCGGTTTCAAACCCGCACTCTCATGCATGAGAAGTAGGCGTCTAAAACCTGCGGGCCACCATGACCGCACAGGTATATTATAAATGACCGTCGTTCGAATTGAACTTATGAAATTGAGTCTAATACCTAATAGTGGTCCGAAATAATAAAGCCTGATTGCTTATACAATATTTCCAAGATCCTTTAAATTTTAAATAATATAAGTGAAAGATTAGCAAATCGTTAAAAGGATGAACAAATCGTTTATCATTAAAACAAGAAATGTCTTTGTATTCAAACAGCTCCGAGTTTTAACAGATTAGTATCATTGTGAACGAAGCCAGATCTGGACAAATGTTTTCTTCATTATTCTTAAATTGAGAGTCTTTAGCAAAATAATGTAGATCGTGATTTACTTTTGTTTGTATTTGAATTCATCTTCAATCTTGTAATGTAAATCAACTTTTGTTACCTAGACTGTAATAGACATAACATAACATCAAGCCTTTTTATCCCCAATGGTAGGTAGATGTGCACATTAGGGCACTTAATGCCACTGTACAATGTAACACCCACTTTTTACTATTTATGTTATAAGACCCATGTAATAGGGGGTGAGCCTATTACCAAATACTGGGCACGATACCAGACTTCATGCTACTACTGAGATTTGTTAAAAAGCCCAGTTGTACTTTGCTTGACCCGGAAATCGAGCCCGAGACCCCTTGCCTGGCAGTCGCACTTGCAACCACTCGGCCAACGAGGCAGTCTGTAATAGAAGGAGTATTTAGGTACATTTGGCCACCATAGAAAATTTAGAAAGTAAACACGATGAACCTCTCTGCCAAGCGTAGATGTAATGGTGTATCCCTGTCATGTAGAGGAACCCAATAGTTCAGCTCTCGACTATTGAATGATTGATGAAGATGTTGAACAATCAGAAATAACGAATAGTGTTGGAAAAAGCACTTTAATTTACTATTAACTGAACTAAGAAAGAAATGATTAGCAACAATTTCTTGTAAACGGTCTGTAATGTTGGTTGTCTTCCTTGATCATGTCAGATACTTTCTCCCCAATCATGATCGCAGCACCTAAAGTACCTCCTGCAGTGGGGTATGGCATGACACTAGCATCAGCGACCCTTAGTCTTCTCACACCATACACCCTTAATCTGGAGTCCACCACAGATCCCATGGCACAGGTACTGCTATAATGATGTTCAGAAGTCGTCATACATCTTATATAACATTTCCAATAGTCTCTGGTACCCACTGTATAATTTGTGCAATCAGGTAATTTAGGATCCTTGAATGTACCACCGATTTCCTGAAACGCATCTGTATCCAAAACCTTCATAAAATCTTCTACTATTCTCGCATGGTCATCTAGATCTTCTTCTTCTGTATAATAGTTGGTATAAATATAAGGAGCTTCCATAAAGTCGCGACTCTTCAAAAGAATTTCTCCTCTCGACTTGTACAGCTGCTTGTTTACTATAGAAAACATCATCTCGGAGTTGACATCAGTCCCGATCATATTGTTGCAGATCTCGTCAGTCTGGCTGTACGTAAAGGTGCAATAGCTCATGAGGTACGTAGGTAGACTCACAAAGTTGATAGTTTGGTAGTCAGGATAGTTACTCGACTCGTTCAAAGACACATAGCCCATTAAAACTGATGCTGGATACTTGTGAGGATTCCAAGGTCTGTAAGGATATATCAGGTTTGTCATATTGAATAAAATAACTACAGCCAAATGATCCTGCAAGTTTTTTCCAACTGGTAAATCAGATATTGTAGCAATCTTGTGACTATACAGATGGCTTCTTGGGCCGACGCCTGACAGCATAAGAAGCTTTGGAGAATTGACAATACCAGCCGATACAATAACTTCTTTTCTAGATTTCACTATAATGTTTCTTTTGTCATAAGTGTACGCTTCAACGCCAACAGCATTATTAAAAGCATCAAATATAATTTTCTTTACAAGAGTATTCTTTAAAACGTGTAAGTTTGGACGATTTCTAACAGGAACTAAGTAAGAAATAGCCGTACTCTGTCGAATACCATCTGACATGGTGAACAAGGCATCAGAGTAGCCTAGGGAATTATTTCCACTAAAAGCTACCTGGATTTGGCTCCCAGTTTCTTCGAATACTTTGAAATATTTATCTCTTTTATTTGTTAAAGAGAGGGATAGTCCAATGTTTCCTTCGGTTCCGAAGTACTGTCCTTGGGACGAGTTAATGATGGAAGATTCCTCGAGTCTCTGGGACTTTTTAATGTATGGTAAAACATTCTCCCAGTTCCAAGTGCTATCGTTGACTATTTCTGCCCAGTTGTCGTAATCATAATGGTTTCCTACGGAGTATAGCAGGTAGCTTGATGAACTGGAACCACCAAGGACTCTTCCTATGGACATGTCATCTACGGACTTCTTGTGGCAGTGTGATGAGGTTCCGTCAGGTTCTGTCGTATAGTTCCATGCTGAGTCATTTTCTTTCATATACAGAAGTAGGCCTGGTAGCTGAAAAAGTTTACTATATATGCTTATTGAACTTAAACAATCTTTTAATATTTAAACGAGCGGACGAATCACCTGATGGTAAGTAATCGTCGTCGCCCATGGACACCCGGAACACCAGAGGCCCTAAAAGTGCGTTACCGGCCTTTGGGGATTAGGAATTAAGGATTGTCAGAGATTCAGTGATAGGGGAGATTGGGGAAGGGGGAGGATAATTGAGCCTCCGGTAACCTCACTCACATGACGAAACAAAACGCAATCGTTGTTTCACGTCGGTTTTTTGTGAGGCCGAATCCACAAGAATGGTGTAATCCATAATTTTTCTGATTTTAATCGAATATTTGATCAAATATAAAAGACAAAACGTTCATATTCTATCTATACTTACACCAGCTTCGATTTGGGGATCCCCACCAGCCTCAATGAGTAGCACGGTTGTATTACTGTCCTCAGTCAGTCGGTTGGCAACCACACACCCCGTGGTACCAGCACCAACTATTATGTAATCATATGATGCGCCATCTACGAGAAAAATATATTTTGAAAAATAGTTTGTTACACATAATTTTAATCACAAGGAAACAATAAAAAATCTACTAGAACTGTTTTTATAATAACTATCGTGAGACATACTAAATTAACTAAAATCACGGGTTACCACGTAAATATACTGAGAAAAGCTCTACTAGTTTTGAACCACAGAGGGGTTCTTCCTCATGAGCAGCGTGCGCGGTCGCGGCGACGTCGCACAACTCACTGGGCATTTATATTGTAACTTTTGTGAGAAATACTAAATAAATTATTATGTTTACGGCTTACTCACGTAATGACGAGGAGCTCGACTAGTTACACGCCATGCTAGAGGCTCATACTCATGAGTTCCTCGTCAAATTATCACGTGAGTAAGCTGAAAACATAATAATTTAATCACTGGGCATTATTGTAATTGTCATTTTCCCCGTGGCTTACCAGTAGTAGAGCTTTTCTCAATATATTCACGTGAGTAACCCGCGATTTTAGTTAATCTACTAGTACTCACCAAAAACACAGGTCTGTTCTGGAAACTGATATGAAGTGAGCTGCAATGCTGTTAGCACACTCAGGGCACCCTGTACAGCTCGGATGTTGGTCGCCGACTCCGTGGCGTTGATACGCATTTTTATTGAATTTCAGGCTGGAAATAAGACACTTATTTAATGAGGACTATGTATCATAAGTGTGATGCAGAATTAATTCAAGCCTATTTTAACTTCGTCAACTTAAAGTTGTTAATATAATTATGTATACTACAACTGGCTAATCCCAGGCGGTTTCCTCGCTAAAATCTTCAGCTTTATTTATATGAAAGGATAAGGTATCGACAAAAGCAACGGGAAAATTGACGATTACAATTAGAATTAGAAAAAAAATTAAATATTAGAGAACTATTCAAACATTCGATAACGTGGATTAAGTGTGGGAGAGCCATGCTTCGGCTCGAATGGGTGGGCTCGACCGAAGTGATACCACGGCCTCGCAGAAAACCGACGTGACACAACACTTGCGTTGCGTTATTACCGACTGAGGTTACCAGAGCGGAGGCTCAATTACCCAAACTCCCCAATCCCCGAATCTTGACATCTTGAATACCTCAATAATCATCAAATTCCTAATCCACTATAGGCCTGTAACGCATAGTGTCCATGGGCGGCGGCGATTGCTAACCATCAGGTGAGCCATCAGCTCATTTACTGGCTTATTCCATAAAAAAAAAATTTCATTCAAAATAAAAATGATGATAATGTTAAAAATACACATACCTCTAAGTCTGTCATTAAGTACCACAATAAATTCAATTCTAAATCCTACTTGGCTACTAGACCGACTAACATAGATTAAGCTTACTTAGCACCAAAGTTAAGTTCACCGTCTGTCACTTAATTTCCCTCATTGATAAAAAAATCGTAAAAAACTTAACGGCTCTAAGTTTTATAGTATTTTTTACAAATCATTTAATTTATTTAAGTAGTTAAATTTCAAACAGATTATCTTTAAGAATACTTAATTAATACTTAACAAACTTGAAAACAAATTAAGTACCAAAGTGCTTATGTTTACTTTCCTATTTATTATAACAAAAAACCAAGAATTTTTTTATTAAATTTACACAGAAACGAAGTCAAAATAATATCATTCGATTTAATTAAAGAACATAAAAAATTCTCAGTAATAGCACGGACACTGGAATTGTATCCGGTATATAGGCGAAGTGAGGTGAGGCAATAGGCTCACCCCTTATTACATAGAACTATAAATTATATAGAGAAAAGTGGGTGTTACATTCTGCCTACCCCTTTGGGGTTAAAAGGCGTGACGTCATGTTACGTAAATTAAAGAACAAAGTATCAGTAATCAATTACCTACTTTAATCTATACTAGCTTTCGTGTGCGGCTTCGCTGGTTTTAAATTCAGAGTATAGTACCTATTTATAAAGGGAAAAATCATACAATGACTTCTCTTGCCTTGGTTGAGTCGAGAGAGAGAATGTCATACTCTCACTGACTAAAAACCACCCCATTCCTACTCCTGCTCAGAACCGGAGCCCTGGTAACCCGTTAGGTAGCAGCAGCTCCTGTTGCCTGATACAGGTACAGGTACCTGCCTCAAAATGTTATTTAGGGACCGATACTGCGTCTTATCCATCCATTATTACTGCGATATGCATCTCAACTTTCAACAGACTAGATCTGTTGAAATTTGCGGATATAATGTGTTTTATACCGGGAGCCGGTGTTTCAACAGATAAAAGGTTATTTTGATTTGACTGATTGCTAGCATTTCAGGTGGATCGAGTTTCGTTCAAAAATTAGAGGGAGAACAAATTCAAAGCAAGATTATAAACATCATGTAAGGAAAAGTCTTTTTTGAAGAAAATAGGAACAATTTGGTCATTATATACCTTAAAAACACAATATTAAATAGTAAGTAGCAATCTCAAGTAAATTTAACAGGACATGAAATGTTCAATTTCCCTGAACGCTGGCATCCCACTAACTGTTTTATGAGTTCCCAAAACAGGGCTTCAGCTGTTTATAGGTTTTATAGCTATCTTTTCATACCTCTGGGGAATGAGGAAAAGGCATGCTTCATCGAAAGTTTGTGAAACTACATACACCTACGAGAAGCACAATACTTTTAATTTAATTTAAATTGCATTCTTTTTCTAAACACATATTATTGGTGGGAGTGTGGCGTTACCCAAGAGGGACTGACCTCCTCGAAACTCTTCAACCTGTATGTTAATGCGGTGATAGAAGAACTCAGCAGTATGCATGTGTTACATAGCAACAGTCCATGGATTCCGCAGATTGGCAAATTATTTTAAACACATATTAATATTGCATCAGTCGTGCAGCGATGGCGAAATTGCTGACCGGACGGCGGCATCGTTTTCTAGAATACACGACACTTTTGTCTCCAACTTCGACCAAGAGTCACTTAATTTAGAAATAATACTTTTCTGTAATTTTATTCAATAAATTAGTTGCAATCAATTTCGTCCTTATTTGCAACTTGCCTGCCGGAAAGACATAATTCATGTTGGAGGTGTGTGCATAAACAATATCAGCTATGCAGATGATATGGTGCTGAGCTGGAGCGCCTCCATATGCGGGTTGTCGGATGATTGGCGTGTGTCAGCAGTACGCTGAAAAGCATAGTTTAGTTTACAATACAAAGAAAAGCGAGTACGTGGTCTTTCGGACCAAGAAAAAATGTCCGAATCCGATATCTTCATCATGCGCTGTGTTCACTGTATTGTTTTTGTGTTATTTACCTTGTGACGGTGTGCAAATAAACGATTTTTCTTTCATATCAAAAATAATTCTATATGGACACCCTCTTAAGAGAGTTGATACTTTTAAATATCTTAGTAGTATATTATTGGGCATTCTATACCACTATCGGCAAGTCGCTCGGCGAGTGCGCCTCGCTGCCGATAGTGGTATAGAACGCCCAATAATCGATATGGTCCAGAATGCCCAATCGTCAACGATCGATTCGGTTAATGCTAGTAACGCAAAATACATAGTCGTACGGTTTATAAATATTAACATACAAAAAATATTTGTCATTGTTATTCGAACTGTTTCACACAGTAAGCATGAAATTTGTAAAACAACCACAATCGTTGAATATTAACATAATATGTGATGAATTTTGTAAAACTGATTTCCGTCACAGTAAATTATTACCTAATTCAGTACGCTGTATAATTTGCGGACCGTCAAATTGTGGAAAAACAAATTTACTCATTAGTCTACTTATACACGAAAATGGTTTAAGATTTCGAAATGTTTATATTTATTCAAAAACCTTATACCAACCCAAGTACATATTTTTAGAAAAAGTATTACGACGCGTACCAGGTATTTCGTTTCAAAAATATCAGGAACACGAAGAAATACTAAGAGTTCAGGACGCAAAACCTGACTCTGTGATTATATTTGATGATGTTGCTTGTGAAAATCAAAACAACATGCGTGATTACTTTGCAATGGGAAGACATAAATTTATCGATTGTTTTTATTTAAATCAAACGTATAGCAAAATTCCTAAACAATTAATAAGAGACAATGCCAATTTGATCATACTTTTTAAACAAGATGAAATTAATTTGAAGCACATATACGAAGAACATGTCAACACTGATATGTCATGGGTTGAATTTCGTGAAATGTGTTCAAAAATATGGAACGATCCCTTTAATTTTGTTGTCATTAATAAAGATTGCTCTAAAAATAAAGGCTGTTATAGAAATAAATTTGACACCTTTGTAGTTTTTGATTAAATTGCTATTTAAATCCGTTACCTTAGTGTTTCTAATTATTCTACTTGGAATACTTAATCAATCACGATC